AGAAAGAGAAAAAAATTGTTTAAAGATTACGATCTGAGCCTTGCGAGGAAAGAGGCTTTTAATCCACAAACACAAAAAATGGAAAAAGTATAGAGGAAGAAGAAGGGGAAAAAAAGACCAGTCCAATTTAAAAGTAAGAGGCATTTGTAAAAAGTCCATCCATAAAAAACAAACAAAATTAAAGTGAAAAAAAATAACACAATAGTTTTAAACCAGGGTAAATTCTCCGCTTATTTCCTTCTGTCTTCAATTTTATTTTAACTCTGAGTCTTTTGGGTTTTCTCTTCTCTAATAATAAAGATTTTTCTCACCATTTCGACACACTGTCTCTCCTGTGCTGCTTCCGTTTCAGGGGCTTGTCCCAACCTTCTGCAGCCATATTGGCTGCTTCTCTTGTAGCCGGCAAAAAGAGATTTTTCTTGGATCAATCAGGGGCTTTGCAATGCCCCTGAGATTAGCAGCACATGTCCTTCACTATTACCTTTCCTTCAGAATGGTTTAAATCCAAAAAGGATCGTCCAGCAACAGAGATATCGACAGCAATACTGGAGCCCCAAGATTGCATGTCATGTCATTGTGATGTCAAGCCCTGCCTTTCTCTAGGCAGGAGCTTTGATCTCCTGCTTCTTTGGTTCAGGGGAGGCATGATGGAAGGGGCTGCAAGGGAATTCCCTGCCCCTGACCTCCCCCATGTCAGCCCCTTCAGCCCAGCCCCTCCCTCCAGGGCCCTTGTGGGGACAAGAGCCACTGTGGCTGCCAGCCACTCATTTGTGCCTCTGTAAGCCTGTGAATGGTTTATCCATCAGTGCAGTTGGGGAGTGAATGGATTTATATTCCGTTTTTGTTTCGTGCAAACCCTCTTCCCTCCAAGCCACCCTAGGGGTCAGGTTGAAGGATGCTGCGTTAGACTGTCCCTGCCTACCAGAACTCAGCCTCCAGATGTCCAGGTCCTCCTGAATCTCCCCAGAATCTACAGGACAGCCCTCTGAGCCATGGAGGGGCTTCCTCACCCTTCCTGACCCCCTTTTCTTTCAGCACAACCCTTTATGTGGGCAAGTATGCGGGGGGCTTCTATGCATTGACGTCCCTGGTGCATGAAGGCATGGCCCTGGTGGTGAGTTTTCCCAGGGGGTGGGGCAAGGGATGGGTAGGTGTGTGTGGGGGTCCTGGTGATCATTGGCCTGTCTCTGCCTCCTGCAGCCTCAGGGGGTTTCTCTGGCCCAGGGCACCGGTCCCACCACACGTGAAGTGACCCTCCAAAGGTCTGGTGAGTGCAAGATCACACCCAGCACGGGCATCCAGTACCCACCGGGCACCATCTTCCTCCCCCACAGCCAGTGGCTGCTGATAGGTGAGTGTCTGAGCTCTGGGGCTTCCATTTCCCCCAGAGGTTGCCCAGAGGCCCTGAATGGTAAGGGAAGAAAGTCCCCCCTCCTTGGACTGAATGGTTTGCAATGCTGCCATTCTGCAAAAGAACATGTGTGTGCATACTGGCAGGCGTGGGCTGACCCCCCTTTCCCCTCTGGTCCTTGGATGGGGGGTGCCAAGCCTCGGAGGTTCAGAAAGGGGAGGGAGAGGAAGTGGTGATGAGAAGATTTGGGGGCAGCTGAGCGTCCCAGAAGATCAGCATTAGAAGAGAGCAGGGGGTTGGGGGAGTTGAAGAAAAAAAACCACAGTCAGCATAACTGAAGCTTTGGGAGGCAGGCAATGTAGGCAGGTGGAGCTCAGCCATGGGGAGCTCTTCTTGGGGAGGGCCCCCAACTTCAGGCTGCCCCCTTCCTTCCAGGCCATCATGAGATGCCCCCGCTAATCCACACCACCATGCTGAGGGCCCCTCCGGGCAGCCTGCGGAGGACCCCACACGACTCCCGCGCTCACAGCCTCTTCGGAGAGGTAGGAGCAAGAGGGGGGAAGGGATGATGGGGGAGAGGGCTGCAGGGCAGAGTCCTCCAGTCTGGGTGACAATGGCCTCCTAAGAGAAGGGGAGACCCTCCCGGCTGCTTCACTCAGGGTCCTCGTCAGAAGGCTCAGAGCCAGCGATTCAGCCCTGGGTCTTCCAGGCTTTTCTTGCAAACACCCCAACACTCATAAGCTATTGTGGGAATTGGGGGGGAGGGAGAGCAATAAAGACATGCAGAGGGTGTGCTTGCTCCTCTTCCCCTTCCCCACTGCAGGTGGCATCTGGGGCAAAAGAGCTGGCCGGGCTGGCCCCACTTCCAGGCCCGAGGTCCAGGCCCTGTGGCTGGGCGGTGGCTCTATGTCCCCCTCCGTCCTTGCCAAGAGCTTCCGGTCTCTTTCAGTTCCTGGCCCCTGAGGGCCCGCAGGAGGATCTGGCTGATGGTCGGCCCTGGGGGGATCATGCCGCGAAGGAGGCCCCAGTGGAAGTGGATCCCTCCTTTGCCAGCTGGGAGCTGGTTGTGGTTGGCGTGGCTTCCATCTGTTGGGGCGGGGGGCTCCTCTGCCTCCTGCTCTGGGTGAGTGGGCTTCATCTCATCCTCTTCCGGCTTTCTGTGCTTTGGGAGGATTGCAGGAGCCGCAGGGCCAAGCCAGGAGAGGCACCCCTTGGTCCCTGCCAGCTGCTAGAGGATGCCACTTCATGGGCCCTATTGGGGAGGGGTCTTTTCCAGGATGTAGCCAGTCCTGCCCCCAGCCTGATGATGGGGACCCAACAGTAAAGGCAGGTGGTCTCTTCCCCTTTCGTCCCAGAGGGCCCCTCTTGAGCGCAGCTCCAGCCAGCAGCCTCCTGTGTCCTCCAGCCATTTCCCAAGAAGGACTCCCGAAGGGTCCCTGGAGCTGGACCAGGGGGCAGAGCTGCCCTCCTCCTCAGCCTCGGTGGATAAAGCCTCCCTCCAGGGCCCTGGTCCAGGTGGGTACCTGCCCAGCTAGCAGAGGGTGTGTTGGGGGGGCTGTTCAAGGGGCCCCTAGGGGGACTTCCTCTTCCTCTCTTCTCCCCCTCAGCAGGCATTGCCCCAGAGACAGTGACGGTGGGGAAGCTCTCCTTCAGAGCCCAGGAGGTGTTGGGCCGGGGGGCCGGGGGCACCTTTGTCTTCCGGTGAGTGACAGCTGCTGAACAAAAGGGCTCAGCCCTGCCGTCCAACTGAGGGGCTTCCTACAGGCCGAGGGTCCTGGGTTGCTTCTGGGTTGAAGAGGCAGCTGGACGAGCCTCCCTCTTGGGGTCCAGGAGGCCGAAATGCTAAGCATCCTCAGAGGGGGCCCAGACGGCTTTGGACGCTTCCTGAGAGGGCAGAGGCTGAGCGAGGGCTTTGCTGGAAGGTGGGTATTCTGGGCCCATAGGAGAAGCCCTTCCTCCCCATCGCCTCACCCGGGGGGGGGGGCTTCCTCCTTCAGAGGCCGCTTCGATGGGCGTGATGTGGCCGTGAAGCGGTTGCTTCCGGAAAGCGTCCGCTTGGTGGACCGCGAGGTGCGTCTGTTGCGAGAGTCGGATGCACATCCCAACGTGGTGCGTTATTTCTGCACCGAGGCTGACGGGCAGTTCCACTACATCGCCCTGGAGCTCTGCTCTGCCACCCTGCAGCAGGTGAGGAGGCAGCCCCCCCTTCCGGCCCCCTCCACCCCCCTCACATCCCTGCTATCCTTTTCTTCCAAAGAGGAAAATATGAACTTGCCCCATTTGGTCTCTGTGCCCCAAGGGCTGCATTGCATGAAGCTGCCAGGGGAAATGCTCCCCTCCAGCCTGCTGGCCCTGCCTGGCCGCCAGTTCAGATGCTGTGCCTGGTTTCCTTGCCTGGGGAATCCCCTCTGAGCTCAGTAGGGGGACCCTGACTTCCACCCCCACCAGCCCAAATATTTGGAAATGACGAGAAATCCAGCTACGTCTGTCCGAGGGATAGAAATAACTTTTGCTTAAGTATTGCAGGTGTGACGTGAAGGGATCTCCTTCCAAACGCTGCTGAGCGCTTCATCTGAAAAAAGATCACCTCCTGGGTGGGGGAGGATGGGGGGGAGTGGATTGGCAGATTCCTGAAGGCCGTCAGAGCTGATGGCTCTTCCAGCATAGCTGGGGGTGGGTGGGTGGGTGGGTGGAGAGTTTTGATGTGGGGGGGGGGGGGCTCCCGGCAAGAATTGCCCTGCCTGCTTCCCTTCTGCCCCCTTCAGTATGTGGAGCGTTCCCTCTTCCCTGGGAAGGCCCTGGATTCTCTCTCCCTGCTGACCCAGACCATGTCCGGACTGGCCCACCTGCACTCCCTTAGCATAGGTGAGACCCCTCCCCCCAGCGGGGGCCGTTGCCTCCCCCTCCCCTTGAACCGGAGACCGGGTGTCATCCTGGCTGGTGCTGAGGACCTTTTCTGGGCAGCTCATCGTGACCTGAAGCCCTGCAACATCCTGATCTCAGGCCCCGACGGGCAAGGCCGGCTCCGAGCGGTCATCTCCGACTTTGGCCTGTGCAAGAAGCTGCAGGGGGAGCATCAGACCTTCAGCCTCGGCTCAGGCATCCCTGGCACCGAGGGATGGATCGCACCCGAGATGCTCAGGGAGGACGCCCGGGAGAGCCCGGTGAGGACGGCCGACCTCCCTGCCTTTGGGGTCTGGGAGCTGAGGGTTTGGGGACCTGCCCCTGCCCTGCCCTGCCCTCCCCCCTAGGGTGCCATCCCAGGGGAGAGAGAGGCCCAGAGAAGAGGCAGGGTGGGAATCTAACCTTGGGCCTTCAGAGACTCATGGAAGCGGCTGCCTCTGGCCCTGGCTTCCTGCTCTCTTACAGACCTGTGGGGTGGACATCTTCTCCGCCGGCTGCGTCTTCTACTATGTCCTGTCCCATGGGCAGCATCCCTTTGGGCACAGCTTCCATCGCCAGGCCAACATTCTGGCAGGCACCTACCAACTGCCGAGGCTCCAGCAGGACACTCACAGTAAGGGGGCTGCCATGGGGTGCTTTGGCCCTGTGGGAGCATGTGTGGGGACGACCTCCCTGGCTCAACTGTTGCTCAGCCGTGGCTGAGCCCTTTCTCTTCAGCTTCACCCTGCTGGCAGCTACGCTAGTCTACCTTGCAGGGGTGTAGCAAAGGTAGTGACAAATGGTAGGTGGATCCTTGGACGACCTCCTGAAGGTCCCTGCCTACTTGCTTTCCCAGGCCACATAGTAGGGCGGGACCTGATAGAAGCCATGATCAGCAGTGACCCCCACCTGCGCCCCTCAGCCGCACAGGTGCTCTGCCACCCCTTCTTCTGGGGCCCTGAGAAGCAGCTGCAGTTCTTCCAGGTGAGTCCTGGGTGGGTGACGCTCGTCCTGGCTGCCCTTTCCAGTCGCGCTCTGTCCTGCTGCCCACGCTCTCTCCCTTCTGCAGGACGTCAGTGACCGCCTTGAGAAGGAGCCGGCAGAGGGGCCCCTGGTCAGCCTCCTGGAGACCGGGAGCCTGGCGGTGGTGCGAGGGAACTGGCAGCTGCATCTCTCAGCCCCACTACAGGCAGGTAGGTGCTGGCCCTCTCTGGGCCCCCTGTGTGTCCTGGGGGAGGGAAAGTACCGCAGGAGCCTTGCTGGCCCTCTTGGCCTTTCTCACTCTCCCCCCTCCCCCGCAGACCTCAGGAGGTTCCGGAGATACCAGGGCAGCTCAGTCCGGGAGCTCTTGCGAGCCATGAGGAACAAGGTGCCGTGCCAACCCCGGCTGGGCTCTTTGGGGAATGCCAGGCCCTCTGCGTCTGAGTGGCACATGAGTGGGTGGCTTCCCCCCCCCCCATTCCTTTGGGCACCTCCTGTCCCCTTCCTGTCTCTGAGTGTGGCACTGTCCCCTGGGGGCCTCTTTCTCCTTCAGAAGCATCACTACTATGAACTGCCCAGCAACGTCCAGGAGGCCCTTGGCAGCCTCCCCCATGGATTCCTCCAGTACTTCCTGGACCGTTTTCCCTGCCTGCTGCTGCACACTCACCAGGCCATGCGCCTATGCGCTGCTGAGCAGCTGTTTCAGAGATACTACTGCCAGGAGTGAGGAGCATTCCACACGGCAGGGCATTTCTTGGCCCCTGCCTTCCCACACCTCCACATCTGGAGGGACCGATTCAGCACAGGGCATCTGAGCCCCACCAGCTCCCTGGCAGAGGTGTTTATGCGGGGCCAGAAGCTAATCCGTGGGGCTTCCAGGAGGCCTCACGCAGAGGGGCAGAAGGGGGTGGGCTTCCCAAGAGGATCTGTTGTCTTCCCTTCAATTCTCAGCTGAAGAGAGTAGGGGAGCATCACCTGTCCCCATGGGCTGCACTGCTGATGCACGGTGGGCCTTGCATAACTTGAGCCTGCTGTGGCCATTCCAGAGAAGGGATCATCCTCTAAAGGCAGCCAGAGGTGCTCAGGCTGGGCTCTGCCCTGCCCCTTCTCCCCCTTGGTTCCCTGCCCCATGGCATTTTATTCCCAGGCTCATCATGAATGGGGATGCAGGGAGCATCTCCAGTTGCCTCAGAGACCTTCTGGGGTGGGGGTCAGTAGCAGAAATCTGGAATGTGGGGTTTAAAAGAAAAGCTAGCAGCACAAGGGAAGCAAGCAGGAGGCCTCTGCTCTGCAGCTGGAGGGCCATCAGGAAGGAAGGCAGTTTCTTCAGCCAGGAAGCAGCAGGAGGAAGGATGGCCGGGCAGGGGTTCCCCTTGAGCCCAGTTGTGCTGAGAAGGAAATATCATAACTACCTTTTAATTCATTGCACTTACACAGAAGCCCAGGTGTGGACTTGTTTTAGCCATAATTTGATGTATTAGACAGAATTAGATCAGATCTGAACATCAGCCGCATTGTCAGTCTTGTTATTTTTTTAATCAGACAATTTTAATGGATTGTGGAAAAGCGACAAATACTTCAGTTAACTTCAGGAAAACATTTGGCCAAATTTGTCATGGCAGCAGCCAGCAAAATATTGGATGGCTCCCAGCAGCCCTGACCCTCACTGGAAGAGGAGCAGGAAGGCGTCCTGGGGCCACCCAGAGATCAGCCAGTCTTTTCTGATCAGTAATGAGCTAGATGAGATTAGCACAGGAGCAAAGATGGTTGCCAAGAGAGATTCGCTCTCCTGCGTTTGCGGCTGCCGCCATGTTTGATGAAGGCCCAGTCCTAGAAGATACGCAAGGCTGATTCAGGTGGATCTTGAGTTGTGACAGTGGTAAATCATCCCCCCACCGCACGACCAGCCTCCTTTGTGGCTGCAATCATCAAACAAATCCATGGTTTGCTATGGGCCAATGTAGCCAAAAAGCAAAAGCAGGAGATGTTTTTGGGGAGGCAAAATGGTCATAAAAATCGTGACCAGAGGATGGTGTAGTATTTACGAATGGTGTAAATATGGTTGCTAAATACTCCCAATTGGGGGTCACGTGACCCTGGAACACCCCCACCAACCGTTGGCGCATGGTGCCTAAGTACCCACCCAGGGAGTTGCATTGTAGCGCCAGTTGCTAAGTGTGACTGGTCATAAGTCGAGGACTACCTCTCAAACTGGCTGAAGCAACTGTGGAACAAGGACAGGTGCAACTGGGACCCTCTGATGTCCTTGCGTAGAGCCAGTTTGGCCCCTGACCTGGTTCTTGCTGGTGGCCCAATGGGGGTTCAGTCCACTGGGTCACACACGGGGCTGATGCCAAGACAAACAGCCACACATTGAAGAGTCTGTTGCGTGAAGCCCAGCAAGGCTATTTGGCAAACTATGTTTAGGCGCAGTGATAAAAATCTCTCTCAACAAACCATGGAAGCAACAGAAGCACGCCTGAAACGCTTTAAATTTTTAAGAAGTTTAAAATATTCCTGCCAGGCTCTGGGTCCCAACTGTGATGACAATTAAGATCGGGGCTCCCATCTCTGGGAGAGGGGAATCCCCACAAACTCCCGACACTTTGGGCAAGAATGGACGAGGAGGAGAGCTTTCTCAACCCATCAGGGGCTCCACAGTTAAGGGCCTAATGCAGCCACCAAATGCCAGCAGGGCTCATCAGGGCCGGCAGCGGCACAGAGAACCAGACGACAGCAACTGCTGCGGCTCCCTGTCCGAGCGGGGCCACTCTGGACACATGCACAATGCCTTGAGGTGGGGAGCACATCCACGCAACAAAGGGTCCCTTCTACCTGAGTCCTCCATCCTGGGTTTGCTGGTCCTCATGAAGCCCATTCCCCCTCCCATCACTTGGGGGGTCACTCTCCTGTGGGTGCACCAAACCCTGGGGAATTTCAGCTGAAGGCTGCTGCTCACTGCTTGTGGAGGGGCTTCAGGTGCAGCCGTGGGAAATCCCTAGTCCAGGGACCCAGGGTTGCTGGCTGGATCTGAGAACCCTGCCTGGCCAAGAGGACCTGGCCTGGTGTGTGTGATGACAGCCACTCCCCCTTGCTTCCTACCGTATTTTTCGGAGTATAAGACACACCTTTTTCTTTCAAAAGAGGCTGAAAATCTGGGTGTATCTTATACACTGAATACAGCATTTTGGCCTCCCGAAATTCTGCCCTCTTCACCAAAATGGCCATGCCTAGCCTTTAGGAGACTTATAGAGTGCTCTTGAGGGCTGGGGAAGGCAGAAATGAGCAAAAAGCGGTTTTTGCTCAATTTTGCCCCCCCCCCCAACCCCCAGGAGCATTCTGGAAGCCTCCTAAAGGCTAGGCATGCCCTTTTTTTGACAAAAAATTGACCCAATTTCACAAAAACTGGGCCATTTTTGGGAGGTCTGCAGAGTGCAAAACGTTTTTTTTAAATTTGCCTCTTCAAAATCTTGGTGCATCTTATACTCCCCAAAATAGGATATGCGTTCCCTTCTGCCTTAAGTCATGCTGCCTGGGCAACATCAGTGCTGTGAGCCCCCTCCCAAGAAGACAAGGAGGGCTGGGATGGAGGCCAGCTTTGGTCCTTCAGCCAGGGACATAGGTGGGTCTCCTGCCCCCGGACTCTCTTTGGCCACAGCTGCCTTTGCTGCGGGGTTGCCCGACCACACGCTCCCCCTTCTTCCCAGGGTTCCCAGCTGTGGGAGGCCTTGGTGGGCTCAGAGAGTTTGAGAAGCTCAGCTGGAGGAGGGTCACCAGTCCTAAGGCAAAGCAAGGAAAGGACTGATTCGCCATTGCCAAGGCCAAATGCCACTGAGCCGCACAAGCCCAGCAACAAACCCCTCGTCTGCCAGTGCAGAGCCTGGACTCCCCTCCAGAGAGAGGCTCAAGTAGGAATCCGGCTGAGTTCCGAATCAACGGCCAAAGGCTTCTCTTTATTCAAAGCGAGTATAAAACAGTGAAGGGGGGACAGAAAGGGGGGGTGTCTTATCAGAATCTGAGAAAAAGCATCCTGTTCAATTACAGTACTTTTGTGGCCAAGGGGGCTCCCGGCACCCCAAAGCAGCCTGGGGACAAGAAGGGCTGTCCAGGGGGGCCCGCACAGTTCTGAGCCAAGCAGAGCCTCCCCCAGCTCTAGCTTGGTGCCTTGGTGGCCCCCGATTTAGAGGCCAGCAGCTTCTCCACCATGGTGTGGGCGTAACGGAGGCGGCTGGCTAGCTCCTTGCAGCAGCCAAACTCCTCGATCAGAGCCAGTTTGTAGGTGTGGAACTCACGCCGCTCGTTGATGTAGGTGACAGCAGCCATCAAGGGGCAGAGGATGACCTTGGTGTGGTCCTGTGGGCCAAGAAAGCACAGCGGGGGCGGGGGGGGAGGGGACTTGCTTAGCATCAGGAGGCAGCAGTACCTAATGGCAAAGCAAGGAGATGACCCCGTTCTGAGAAGGGATTTGGGGTTCCAGCTAGGAGGACCCCAGGCCTGGCGGGTGCAAGAACTCCAGAAACGCTGCTCCCAATCCTTTGGTCTGCCTCCTTTCCTCCCAGGAAAGCCAGGTGGATATGGGGGTGGATGGGAGGGGGTGCCAGTGCTTCTGTGTCCCCAGAGAGAGCACCAGCACCTGGGGGAGGGCAGGCTCCCAATAGATCGGTTCCTCCCTCCATTCGCAGGCGCCCTGACATCTGAGCACGTTTTCTCCCTCTCTGCCCCCACCCCCTCCGAGGGCTCTGTGGCCCACTCCTCACCTGGAAGAAGTTGACCTGCACGGTGCCATTGCTCAAGTGCAGGATGATGGCACTGCGGGTGCGGAACCAGTTCAAGAGGTAGGGCAGCCGCGCCAACTCATCCCCTTCCCGGGGAGTCACGTTGGCGCCAGCTTTCAGCAAGTGCTCACTCATGTAGTTCTGGAAATACTCCAGCAGCTTAATCTGGGAAGAACGGAGCAGAGCGGGTAGCCGACCAGGGTGAGCCCCAGCACAAGAAGGCCCCCTGCCAGGAAAAAGCCAGAACATTCCCCCCCCACCCCCGGTCCTGCAGCCATGCCAATCTCTTGGATGGGAGCATCCCTCCACCAAGCCTTTTGCCCCCCCTTCCCCCCAGCCACACCCTCTGGGCCTGGGCTTTTCCTCCCGTGCAGATGGAATGCCCCTTCAAGCACAGGCTCAAGCTTGCAACGGAGGGGACTCTCCTCCCGCCCATCAGAGACGGAAGGAGAAACTGAGGCAAGGGTAGGGCAGCGCCCCAAGCGTCCTCTCTCCATCTCACCTTCTTGCTGAAAGTGTCTGGGTAAGAGAGCACGTTAAAATACAGTTCAGTGCCGTTCTGGTTAATGTATTGCAGTTTGTCCCCGTCGCTGTACATGAGGAGTCGAGTTGAGTCGTTGAAAAGGACCCCAACGCTGTTGTCGCACAGTTGGTAGCCTGTGGAAGAGAAGATGGGCGCATCCTCAGCTTTCCTGGATCGGGCCGCAATCCCAAAGGATTATCTTGACCTAGCAGGAGAACAAGACCACAGCCGGGCGAGCCCACCCTACGTGCCCCCAGGGAGCGTTTGGGAATCGGCCCAAGACCACGGAGGCATCTGGCCGCACCTCCAAAGATGGGGAAAGAACCGAGTGGCACAAGACCATTAGCTGGGCTGGGAAAGAGCATTCTCTCCTTCCCTCAGAAGACCAAGCTCTTTTAAAAGAAACATATTACAGGCAGCCCCCGAGTTATGACCATTCATTCAGCGACCGTTTGAATTACAAAGGAGCTGAACAATGGCCTCACGACCCGCAACCGACGTTACGGCTGCTGCCCTGCCCCTGTGGCTGTGGGACCCATCATCCACTCCTCCGGAGCCGAGAAGGAAGGAATGGCTTTTGTGGGGTGGGGGGCATTGCAGGGCCAGGCAGTGAGTACTTGGGAGACCCAAAGGAGCAGGTGGGGGACAGATTATTTGGGGAAAATATCAGCAAGACTTAACAGTGATTTCATAGCAGTTAATCAGTTAAATTTTTTAACTCAATTCAGAAAAAGAGGAAAGCAAAACAGAGAAATTGCTGGAGTTCATTAGCCTAATTAGTGCAAAATAAGCCCTTTTCCCAGGGTTGGGGGGCAGTTTGAAACCCGCAAGTGTTGACAGACTAACAAATTTGTCAAACCACTTTGAATTTCAGTTCACCCAGCATCAATTCTACATCGGCTGTCCCTCGTCCATATGTTTTAGGGCCTTTGGGGGGCAAGTCCAGGGCAAACAGGCCCTCCCCACAAGAGGGTGTCCTCTGTCCCAAGACTATTTCTTTCCTTCACACGACATACAGAAAAATCAACTGTCCTTGCAGGGGAAAATGCAGCTGGGGTGACAGGGGCTGCTTCCAGAGGGTTCCCACTAAAGGGCCATTGCTTGACCCAGCCCCCCCTCCCCCGACCTACCTAGCCCATACTTGTCAGAGTAGTCCACCCACTTGCTGACCCAGAAGATGGGGATGCAGGCAGGGTCTTCAGCCTCCTCTGGGGGGAAAAAACAGAGATGCAGGAGTGAAGAAGTGCACCCGAATTGGCCGGCTCAAAAGCGCAGCCTCCAGCCAGCCGCCCTTACCTTGCCTGACGGGAGTTTTTTCTGCGGGACGGCAAGCGTTGACTCGCATCAGCTGCTGCAGCAGGTCGGGAAGGTAGCAGGGCAGGGGCTGTCCGGCCTCCATCAGGATGCCGGCTTTGTCTTCCTTCTCGGGCACCTTCTCGAGGGCCGCGTTCTCTGGACCTGTGCCAGGGAAGATTTGGCCAGGCTCAGAAGCTTCATGGCCCAGAGGGGGGGGGCACTCTGAAACCTTGCCCCGGCTCACCTTTGTTCACCACCGCAAGAGGCCTCCGGCTGCTGGGGTCAAGGCTGCTGGGCGCCAGGGAGAAGCGGGGAGGAACCGTAAGGCAGGTGGTGGGCAGCCGCGAAGGGATGTAGCCTGTGGTGAAGAACTCCTCGTTCAGCAGCTCGTCAATGGTCGGCCGGGCAGCCGGGTCATGCTGTAGCATCTTCTGGATGAGACTAGCAGCCACGGGGTTGATGTGCTGGACGGACAGAAGGTCCACAGGCCATTCCTACACAATTCCCCCCTCCCCCCCCACATATATAAAGGAAGTGCCAAGCATTAGGATCAGGGACTTCTCGGCTGGATTCCAAGCAAAGCAAAAAGAGTTGCAGAAGAACAGAATTCAACCATGTCTGAAAAGCTCAATAAGCAAAATGAGGAGCCAGATTTTTGGAGGCCAGAGGCTGACTCTGAAACTGCTCAGAAAGGGCAGGGGAGCACTGTGAAGCAGGATACACCCTCTTTCCCCAAAAATACCCCCCCCAAGCCCAATCGGGCTTTTGAGTGCATGGGATAAAATAAGCCTCCTCCCCAAAAATATTGCAACACAGCAGCAGCCATGAGGTGACCACGCTCTCCGCTTCCTGCACCTCAAAAATAATAAGACCTCCCCGGAAATAAAGCCAAGTGCTTATTGGGGGGGGGGGTCAAAAGAAAATAAGACCCTGTCTTATTTTCGGGGAAACACAGTAACTTAAAGTGCTATTGCTCTCAAGCCAACTGGCTGAAGCAGCAGGATGGAGCAGTCTTATTCTTACAAGCATTATTTTTTATTTGTTTTACTTTTTATGCCACCCATCTCCCCTGTAAAGTGACTCTGGGCAGCCTGAGATTTCAGTTACTGAAAGCGAGCAATGACCAAATGCTGCCAAACTGCAATCTGTTAGGAGTGCGGCTCACACAGCCACAGGGGGAAGAGGGGGGAGCTGTGATTTAGCGGGGGTCCAAGGCAGCCCACCTGGGGCTGAGCTTGAGGGAAGAGGAGACAAGGACACACAACTTCTGCATTCCCTCCAAGCAGACCGGGGTAGGTGGGTGGGCGAGGTGGATGGGCGTGGGAAATGCAAAGCTGGCCCAGCCCCAAGTCCTAACGGGCAGCTCCCGCAGGATGCCCTGGCTGGGAGCTCCGAAAAGAACCCACCGTAGGAATGGTGTATGCGTTGTTCTTAATCCGAATATAGGTTTCTTTCAAGCAGGAGGTTTCAAAGGGCGGCTTTCCAACCAGAAGGGTGTACCTGCAAGGAGAAAGAGCTTCAGAACAGCTCCCATAAAGCCTCCTCTGCCAAAGGGACCGGAGCCCCTTTGCTGCCCCCCACCCCCGGTCTGTCAAAGTGATCCTCAGACGGCAGAGCCACTTCCCCTCCCCAGTCCCACTTCTGGCATCATGAGAACACCTTCGCTCTCTGCGCTGGCCACACCTGAAACCCCCCCCCCCCAAGCACAGTGTAAGGCGGCTTCCACCTGTTGAGCCACCCAGCTGACAGCCTCTCAAGCCCCTGGTGTCCCAACGTGGCTTTTGCCAATGAGAAGTCACGCCCGAGAATCCTGGGGAGGGACTTCAAACAGCCACAGATTATAAGCTGAGGTTGTTGAATTGTCTCTGCTGTTTGGGGAGCCCTGCCTTCTTACACCTGCAGGATGTCTATGGAGATCCTCGGCTGCCCAGGCCATGCTCTTTCAAAGGCAACTGGACTTCCTGGTTTTGCTAGAAGACCTCTTGCTTCTCACCCAAGAAGCTTCTTCAGTTCTGCCCGAATAGTGGGGAATGGAAGGGTTTATATTCCTTGCAGTCATCTGGTCATTAGAACTCTTTCTGATAGTCATTGAGGCCATGACTGCAAGGAACATGAGGAAGCTTCTTGGATGGAAAGTGAAACGTCTTCTACAAAACAAGGAAGTCCACTTGCCTTTGGAAGAAAGCACCTTTGGGGCATGTTCTGCAGAGTCCCACTGAACCCCTATTTGTCCATTCCCCAATTTGCAGAACTGGGAGATGTGTGCAAAACTCCCCTCCCATGGTTCCTGGTGCTGTGTGTGTAATTTTCCTCTTGTGATTTTCACGTATCTTTGCGACCCACCCAAACTTACATGATGCAGCCAATGGACCAGATGTCCACTTCAAAGCTGTGCCCTTTCTTGCCCAACACTTCGGGGGCAATGTAGTTTGGCGTCCCACATAAAGTCTTCTTCCGCTCCCCGTCGTACTCCACCCTGGTGGCCAGGCCAAAGTCACCTGGACAGACACAAGGGGCAGGCTTCTGAGTCCAGCCTACAACTGGGCAACAGCCCCACCGTTCCTGCTGGCTGCTTCAGCATCCTGCAGAGGATGCAACCCCTGCTCCATGGCCCAAGACCCCCCCCCCAAGGGGGTCTCAGCCGTGCCCAGAGAATGGGACCACAGCCCACTCACCGATCTTCACCTCCATGTCATCATTCAGAAACAGGTTGCCCAGTTTGAGGTCGCGATGGATGACTCGGTTGCTGTGCAGGTACTGGCAGCCCAGGATGATCTGGCGCAGGTAATAGCGGGCCTCGGGCTCCGTCAGGGCTTTCCGACGCTTGTGCAACTCCAAAAGGGACTGGGGGAGGGGGGAAAGGGGGGGAGAAAAGCAACCCGGCAGCATGTGAGAAGCTGTGCTCAGAAGAGGCAAGTGCCACCCCCTCCCCATTATAGGAAATACAGATGAAAGGGGAGGGACTCATAAAAGCATTCAGAGCCTTTGGGGGAAACTCAAACCATGTGTGCAGCTTGTAAGCCTCCCGATCTCAGCCCCTAAACTGACAAAATAGAAGACCTGATCTGAAAGATTTCCACTACTCGCCCAGCAAAAGAAATGCCCACTCTAAGCCCCCTCCCCTATAAATGACGTAGGGGTTCCTACGGCAGACTCACCACACTAGGGACCAGTCAGTCCATGGCCTCCTCACTGGGAAAGTGCCAGGAGACCCTGCAAATAATAGCCATGAAAACCCACCCTTGAGAGGAGCAAATCTGCCAGGTTTTACCCTGCGCCGAGAGGCTATGGAAGGATTTGAACACAGAACTTGTGGAAGCTGAGGAAAGCAGGCATCCAAACAGCCCTTTTGTCCTACCCTCCCAGCGATAGGAGCCCCACAATTGATGTGGCCTCTGAGCCGCTCATCCTCTAAACCGGGGTGGGTGGGTGGTCCAATATGCAGGCTGTGGAATTCTGGAAGTTGAAGTCCCCAAGTCTTAAAGTTGCGATGATTGGAGACCCCTCCTCTAAACTCTCTCAGGCCACTGCCTCTCCTCAAAGGCACACAGAAAGCTGTGTCAGCACACAACTCCCACTTCCTCCACCATGATTGTGAAAGCGACACCGGCAGGGACTTCTCCCAGCTCCACACCAGCCATGATATAGGAAAACCAGGCAAAAAGAAACTGCCCTGAAAACACTGCAAAGCCCCCCCCCCCAAACAATACAGAAACCCAATCCAGAGACATAGCCTCCCCTGCCTCCAAAACTGGGGGTGGGGTGGCTCCCCTTTCCCCAGGAGAAACAGCCCCACCCCACTTCTCCTTGCACTGGACAAGTCGAAGTAAAGTTCCCCTGGCCAATGATGGCACCCTCCACCAAAGCACCAATCCCTCCCTCCCTCCCTCCCTCCCCAACTCTGAAGATGACAGACTCCTCCACACCCTTTGCTCAAAAATCAAACTTGGCAGGTTTCTCCTTGGTTCAAAAAGTCCTCAGGTTGAACCTCTGAATTCCAAACGATGTCCTTGAAAATGACCATCCAGCCAAATCCACCTCCAGAATGAGTGATTAGCTATCTCTAAATTTGCAAGCAACCCCTTCCCAAAGCTGCTCCATTTAAATGCCTTCAATCAAGAATCACCTCCTTCTACCAACCCCTACTCATGCCAGCAACAAGAACTCACTGGCATGGATGCCCCCCACACACACTTAAATCAAAGGATAACTGAACTAATGGCCTCCAGTCACCTCCAGTCTGTCCTGACCCCAGCCGTGTCTCCTCCTGGAGAAGTACAACACCCGCACCCCTCCAAGCCATGGTTGGTCAAGGACTCTAGTGCCAAAACAGCTCCTGCTACCACTTAGTAGACCTACATATCCAATTCTACACCAGGAGCAGCACAGGATCTCCTCCAGCAGAAAAGATACTACAAGCAACTGCTGGCATGAAAGAGAGGAAGCCACCCGGGGAGTTGGGTCCAATGACTCAGCCCTTTCTGGCACATTCCGTAAAGCTCCTAATCCCACCAGGGGCCATTAAGAACCTTCTGGGCTTCTGGGGATCCCCCTCTGGCCTCGCCCATTAGCTGCATCAATTGTCATCATTGTCCCTATATATATATATATGTATGTATGTATGTATGTATGTATGTATGTATGTATGTGTATGTATGTATATGTATATATGTGTATACATGTTGTATATATATGTTGTATGTATATGTTGTGTGTGTGTGTGTGTG